TGAGCGAGGAAATGAAAGGGTTGAGAAAATAGAACCAGTAGCTCGGTGAAGACACTGATTTGGTAGACCAGTTCCAACTGCTATGACAGTTGTACGTCTGGTTGGATTGGCTTGGTATTTAAACCAAAGGACACATAGTCCCAGGACACACAGTCCTTACCGTATTCTCCTTGAGATAAGGTCACGCAAACCTCGCCCAATCACTCGTGGTAAGTCTTCAAGGTGACTTCCAAACCTTCACAGGCTAGGTCACCCGGCGATCCACAATTCCTCTTGGATGCTCTAGACCTTGACGCCTAACCGTCTGGAAGATGCACAGTCTTCAAAGGTAACAAGCGTCGGTTCCACATAGGAACAATCTCTTCAGTGATGCTCAATCACTTTGGGTTTTAGGTGTTTGCGTTTTGGGTTTTTCCTCACTGATGATTTTCTCTCAAAGTCCTCGGAGGATGGGATGCTCTAAATGACAAGTGTCAATCTATCTCTCGGAGCAGCCAACCAGCTAGTAGGGGGCGGCTATTTATAGCCAGGGAGCAGCCCGACATGATAAGACATAAATGCCCCTAATGATATGACTGTTAAGTGGAAAAGATATTTGGGATAGCTGGCGCAAAGCATAGCAACAGTCGGAAATTTGAGCTCCCAAATTCCTCAGTGCTATCATGTTCCTCACTGTAGGCAAATCGCACAGGCAAAATCCTAACTCCTTGGTCAGAACAACTTCCGCAGAGACCAGAAGATCTTCATCTCTATCACTGAAGAAATTGACTAAACTGCAAGAGATTTCCAAAGGCTTCACTCGAAGGATTGGGTATGTGTAGGCTTTGAGATGATCATCACTTGGAAATTTTTCCTTAGTATTACCTCGACCCCCTTTAATAGTATGGTGTTTCCTATGACTCAAGAAAGGAAAATAAAACTACGAAAACAAAAGTCTTCACGCTTCATAGTCCTCGCATCAATACCAATATCTTCAAGGTCACACCAATTTCCTCATTTTCAAAGTCTTCAAGAAAACCAAAGTCTTCAGATGAAGACATTCATTTTTAGGGGTCGACTTTCTTCAGATATATCAAACTCCTCAGAGACTTATACAGCTTGTGTACACTCATAAACACATTAGTCCATTAACCTATAAGTCTTCGATACACCAAAATCACTAAGGGGCACTAGATGCACTTACACTTTGAAAAGATTCCCATCTGGAAAATATTCTGTCCTTAGGATAGAAGAACATAAGGAATCCGGACTCTCCAACAACCTCCGGCATTGCTTAGCAAGCATGGCTAGATTAAAACAATGTAAGTCACGAAATCCCATACCTCCACTTAGTTTAGGTATGCATAATTTCCACCATGCCATCCAGTGCAACCGTTTCTTATCTTGGTCATCACCCCACCAATATCCAGCTATAGCATCATGTATACCTTTCAAAATTTGCTTTGGTATCTTGAAAACAGTCATAGCAAATACTGGCACAACTTGTGCAATTGCTTTAATAAGAGCCTTCCCTCCATATGGTAGCAATTTCTCCTTCCAACCTGCAATAAGTGCACAAACTCTGTCCACTAAATGTTTGAAACAATCTAACCTATCCACCCCCACCATAGATGGTAGGCCCAAATATTTATCATTTAGCGATTTAGTCATAATATCCAAAACCTGGCAAACACTACTCTAGTGTCAACCGGTGTATTGGGGCTAAAATAAATGCTGCATTTTGAGGCACTGGCCAGCTGACCTGAATCACTATAGTAGGTATCAAGGATATGCTTCAAAGTCAAAGCATTCTTCTGATCTGCCAACATTAGTATTAGTGAGTCATGAGCAAAAAGAAGATGGGAAATCGGTGTCGCGTCCCGACACACCTTCACCCCTTCCAAGTCTCCCCTTTATTCTGCCCTTAATAACATCCGAAAACCCTCTGCGCATAGGAGAAACAGATACGATGATAAAGGATCACCCTGCCTGAGCCCCCTAGAAGGGGTAATAGAATCCGTCTCTCCATCATTAAATCTTATACGGTATTTTACTCATGTATTACAGGCCATCATGAGTTGAATCCATCTTGGCGCGAACCCTAACTTTGCCATCATTCTCTCTATAAATTGCCACTCCACGCGATCATATGCCTTGTGCATGTCTAGTTTAACTGCACACGATCCTTCCTCCCTGATTTCTTCTTGATGGAATGAAAACATTCATATGCGAGAAGAATATTGCCAGTAATTAACCTCCTCGGGACAAACACACTCTGATGCTGACCACTAATCTCAGGGAGCAAATTTATTAACCTATTTGCTAGCATCTTCGAAATCACCTTATAACAACATTACAAAGGCTAATTGGACGAAATCGTGTTACCTTTTCAGAACTTCAAAACAGGCTGTAAGTTGACGATTTAAAAAATCATGTAGATTTTGCAATCTATACCTAATATTGAAGGTAGGTGCGTTTTTCCGGATTTTTTTGTCCGTTCACCATCGAAAAACAACAAAAAAATCCGAGGTAGTACTAAAGTTTTATGTGTCTGTCAACTAAAAAAACGGTTTGTCCAGAATTTCGTACGTTAGCCGCATGTAGTATGGCCCAGCGAAGCCAGCACTTATTTTCCTACCCACGCAGCTGATAAAACCCTATCTTCCGCTTTATGCGGTAAATAGTCACAGCTTGCCACTTGCGCCCAAGACTGGGCCGGCCCGTTCTCGGTTTTCCTGTGTTTTTTATTTTTATTTTTCTGTTCCTTTCTCTTTTTCTTTCATGTTTCTTTTTCTCCTTCCAAGTTTACTTTTCCTTTTCCCATTTTTGTAAACCCAATATTTAAAAAAAATCATAATTTCAAATGTTGTTCAATTTTTAGAAAATATATTCAGAATTCCAAAATTTTGTCCCCGTTTGGGAAAATATTTTGAACTTTAATTTATTGGTCTCGTTTGGGAAAATATTCAAAATTTAAAAAATGTTACTGTTGCTCAAACAATATTTTTTTCCTCAGAAAAATGGAGAATTTTTAAAATGCATTTAATTATTACAAATTTAAAAAATTCTTATTTAGTGAAATATTGAAAACTTCATTAAAAATGATTGCATTTAAAAAAACTATTTTTTCTAAATGTTCAAAATATGTTCCTGTTTTCAATAATTGTTCACAAACGAAAGCTATTAGTGTTTTATTAAACTCTCGGGTTTTCAAAAATGTTTGTTAATTTCAAGAAAATCTCATTTAGAATTAATTTTCCAAAAAAGGTATGGAATTTGGAAATTTTGTTCACATTTTTTTAAAATGTGCGGCATTTAATAAATTGTTCATGTTTTCAAAAATATTCGGCAATTCATATTTATTATTATTATTTTGAAAAGTTCAAAAAGAATTAATAAAAAAATGAATCTTACACTGCAGTATGTTCTTAGATATTCGCGCTGGCCATGGATTAGAAGGAGGCGTCTGTTCGAATGGTAGCAACACATGGTCGGGTCTTTGTGTGAGTTCAATTCTTCAAAAGCGTTTTTTTGGATAATTGTTTTTATACCCTTAGTTGTGTCTCGTTCGTCAGCATTGCCCCTAGTTTCTGAAAACATGTGGTCTTGCCCAACCCACTTTGATCGTCTTGTGCTTTGCGCTTTGACCGTTTGAGCATCACTTTGAAAACTTCATGACTAATTCATACTAAATCAGAAAAATGCAAATAAGATACCAAAATGTTCGGAAAAACATCGCTTGTATATCAATGTCACTTGCATTCATGACAAAAGTGTTGGTAAGTGATCATCTGAGTGTTAGCTCTTATGATATCACCATGAACAGTAACATCTAAAAAAATTGAAAAACAAAGTTGGTGGCAATGAATGACAAATGTTTTAAGTGCTTCCCAAGTTCCATCAGGAATTATTCCCTGATGAAACTTGGGAAGCACTTAAAACATTTGTCATTCATTGCCACCAACTTTTTTTGAATTTTTTTAAACTTTACTATTCATGGTGGTATCGTAAGAGCTAAAACTCGGATGGGTACTTACCAACACTTTTGTCATGAATGCAAATGACATTGACATATGGTGATGTTTTTCTGAACATCACCGTATGTCAATGTCATTTGCATTCATGACAAACATTTTTATATCTTATTTTCATTTTTATGATTTAGTATGAATTAGTTATGAAGTTTACAAAGTGATGGTCAAAGAGTCAAAGGGAAAAAGCACAAGATGACCAAAATGGGTTGGGCAAGATCACGTGTTTACATAAACTAGGGGCAATCCTGTCAAGGGGGGCAAAACTAAGGGTATAAAAACAATTATCCCTTTCTTTGAATTTTTACTCGTGTCTTACAAACGCAGACTGTTTCGGTGCCTGCGAGTGGGCTGATCGAGATAAAACCTGACAAAGAAGAAAACATTCATGATTATGTGTTGATTATGCTAATGAAATGGAATTTTACGCTACAGTTGATAATTCATCCGGTTATACCATCGTATGAGAGAGTGGTCGAAGCAACCGTGTCCTAAAGGTCGTCAGCCAGCCACCAAATGAGGAGGCAGCCACAACCCGAGACGGAGATGGACCCGGAGGTAAAAATGACATGAGTTGGATGGTCGCCGCGACGCCGACTAAGTTCACTATTATCAAGATCTTAGAGGACAAACATGACCCAGCAGAAGACCGCGGGTTCACGCTACGGAGACCATTTGTGGACACATAATGCGCATATACAGGAAAACTTCGCCCCAATCTCTCTTAAAAAAGAACATCGTCGTAAAAGAAAAACAAATGACAAGCTTTGACGTACACATCAGCTTTGGTGCAGGCAGTTCCAGACCCCACTCATCAGTGCCACGAACCCTCGAGATCCCAACGGTCGAGTGCCCGCCCAGCCACCGCAACGGTTACTTCCACCGATCTGCTCCATTTCCCACCCCTTTCCCTCCCTTCCTCCGATCACTACGCTCTCCATTCCCTCTGCTCCTTCTCAATTCCAAGCACTTAACGAGCCTCAAGCCAAGATGAACAGCGCGGCCGAGACGGACGCCGCCGGCGACAACGGCAACCCCGCCGCCCCGGTGCTGGTGGTGGAGCGCGTGGTGACGGTGGAGTACCTTGAGCAGTCCATGTCGCGGGGCCTCCTCGGCAAGTTCCCCGACTCCTCCGCCTACGACTTCGACTACTGCCAGAGTGGCATCTGGTCCCCGGTCAACAAGATCCCCAGCGAGTCGCCGGCCTCCGGCTCCAGAGACTTCCTCATCGCCAAGCTGAAGCGCCGGGCGCGGGCCGGGAGCAGGCTCAAGGACGCTGCCGGCGGAGGCGGCAGCAGGTCGAGGTGGCAGCGCCGGCGGCTGCGGCGGGACGGCTCTTTCCTCGACCTCCACGAGACGGCGAGCAGGGCGAAGCTGGACTTATCGCCGCCGCTGCCATCGCCTGCCCCCGCCAAGGTAGTTCCCTGCACATGAACCCCTCCAAGCTTAAGCTAGCTCTCCGAATCTGCCATTGGGTTACGAGGTTTCTGTTGGCTTGGGTTCTTCAGGAGGGGTGGAGGAGGGTGCTCACGGCGGCCATCAGGAAGTTCAAGGCGCGGCACCGCCGGTCCCGGCCGGCTCCCCTGCTCCAGATGATGCTTCCAATGCTCTGAAGTCTGAATCCACCGACCGACCGATCGATCGATCGCGCCCGCGACTTCCTTGTTCTTCTGATTGATTATTGATGAGTTCGAGCGTATTGTACAACAGATTAGATCGTCAGATCGATTGTTTGTAAGTTGCCTGTCATATAACTATCACCAGTTAAGTTTCTCCATTCAGTTTGCGTCCTACTTTTCCGTCAGTTAGTTTCGGTTTGCAACCCATCTGACACGGTTTCTGATGGAATCGTAACGAACCTGAATTCGACTCGAAATCCACCCTGCAATTCCGTTATAAATTCCCCGTGGGAATCGCAACTAAAACAAACGCGCCGGATCAGCAACAGCCGACAGATTCGACCTTCCAAGTTCGGCCAGAACGCGAGAGAGTCCCGGAGCTCTCAAGATGGCTTCCAAGATCGCCGCCACGGCGGCGAAGGTGCCAGCGAAGACGAAGGGCCAGTGCATCTGCTCGCCCACCGACCACCCTGGCTCCTTCCGGTGCCGGCTCCACCGCGCCAGCGGTATGCCCAGGTCGATCTCGTGCCAGCAGTTCGGTGACCCCCACACGGCGAGCTCCCCGCTGCTCTCCTCCGGCCACATGCCAAGGTCGGCATCTCAGCAGCAGTTCACGGCTCCTTCCGGCTCCGGCATTTTGAGATCGGCGTCCCAACAGCAGCTCCCGCGCTCCCTCGGTGTGCCAAGATCGGCATCGTGGCAAGATTCTGCTCACGAGAATTGAACAAACCTCCTGAACCAGGATGTTCTTTTTTCATAGCTTAAGTTCAGAAACTACCGATGTAACTTTTTTAAAGATTTTTTTTTCTTTTTTTGAAGCGCTAGATAGTTGTAATTAGCACTGTTGTCTTACGACGACACAATTTTAGAGACAATGGAATAAACTAATGCTGAGATACACAGGAAAAATCTGGTAGAAGAACCTGAACAACAGGATGGTTCTTCTCTTTGCGGCTAACGGTGATGATTCCCGACAGAAATAACTACAAGCTCTCGTCAAATACTCCACTACTTGAAAACTAGTGCTAGGAAGACTACATCTCATCTATCTCACCCTCTCCACCACGACACTTAGCAATAGCAGCTGCCCCTGACAGTGTACTGCAGAGTTATCAATACACATCCACCATGCGCGCTTGCAAACGAATGAAGCTGTGATCCTTTTTCTGAAGAAGAAACAAGGCCAGAATTAGTGTATAAAACCTCTGGATTATCAGACAAAACAGCCTAATGTGGATTGTGGAGATTAGCCATCTATTTATAAGTGATGCCTAGTGAAGTTGTGATTTGTCTCTACTTAACAAAGGTTACCGAAGAAATTATACGTTTACAGAATGGATAGCATGGATATTGGATCATATCATTTACTCCCGCGGCTGTGAATTTGTAGCAGTGTATTTGTACAAGAACATGAGTTTGTTAATTGACAAACCTAGCCGTGTTGCATAATATATTGAAAAAACATTAACGAAAGCTACTGGGAGATATTTCAACCATGAGACTATGAACACTTGCCTGATCAATCATCATCATCTTACTTTTTATTTGCGGGACTCCACCAGTATGTAAACTGGCTTTCCATCGAGCTTGTAGAAATCCTGCAGAATATACAAAGTTAATAAATTTGAAAGGGTGGCTGGGCCATGCCTCTCTTGGAAATATGTGTTTTCCATGTATTAAATACATTTGCTAGATTTAAAAACAAAGCTATGTGATGTACTTGGGCCGGAGGGAGTATTCACCGTAGTCAGTTTAATAAAAAAGTTTGATCGATGTGTATATTCTTGATGCCATCATAAAATTAATGAAAAGCTTCCATTGTCGGGGGGAAAAGAGTATGCATGTAGTGTTTCTGCTAGTGGTATATTTTACAAACACAATCTTCCAATTTTTCTCACAATCCCTGATATGTTCAATTTACAGCAAGTATGCTCAAAGAGAAGAACCTATAAGCCTAGGTTGCTGTGTCCATGTAAGTAAAATAGGGAAACCCTGCAAGGGTTTGCAATTAGGATTCTTCTAGAAGTTGGTCACAGGTAAGTTTAGTAACATGTCAGCTCAGTGCTTATTTTGTTCATTGTTCTCTCATTCATCTGTCCTAGTCACATAGTAGTGCAATACTTGCAGTAGTAACTTTTTAGCTAGGGTTATTTCACCTTAGCCCTTGCGTACCTTAAACTTAGGGAGTCCGATGAGGCATGCACACTCAACAACGTCAGCTGCGGCGCGTTCTGGAATGCAAATAATTGCATCAATCATGGAAAGATTAGTCAAAAGTCATTTTCATGTTGTTAGCTCATGATATATTCATATGATTGAGCAAGACATGTAATTAGAACTCCTCGTTTCTCCGTGGCGTGAATGCTCGATACTTATCTACAAAGTTTCCTCATGGTAGCATGAAAAGATGGAAATTATGCATCCAGTCGCATCAAAGCCACGCCTTTATGCAATTAGCTAGTAGCTACCCTCATATATAGGGCTTATCTTTCAAACAGGAATTTGTCACGCTCACGGGAAAACTTTGCTTCTTGTCAAGAAAACATGATGGTCCTCTACTCTACATGTTATCACTAAGTTGTTGAGATGCTTAAGTGGCTACACCGCATGATACTCGATGTGTCTTTTTTGGCAAGACTATCAGAGATTATTCCATATCAGCATCACACATCCTTTGACTTACTTATCCCCCTCCCATTTATTTACTGGACTACTAGAGTTCTAGTGTAGCACAAGCTCCAAGTTGAGCCTTGTATTAAAGGATTGTTCACATTTCATGTAGAGAGAACAAGAGGGAGGGGCTCACCAAGAAGTTTTATGGCTGCTGAAAGTGTCCCACCGGTTGCAACCAGATCATCCACCACCACCACACGGTCTCCCGGCTCGACGGCTCCAACATGCATCTCCAAGCAATCTGTCCCATACTCGAGCGTATAATTCTCGGAAATCACCTCACCTTCATTGTTTTCCGAGCAAAATTAGCACATTTTGTAAATTAGTAACAACTGTTTTCCCTTTTGGGAGAAAATATGCATGGTGACAACATTTGATGAATCTACTCAGGATGAATGAAGCTTTTCAGAAATCTACATGTTGTGTGCGTGGGTGGTTAATGTGCTCAAAGATTCAGTATGCATTGGTAGTACACCATTTGATTATGAACACCTATCGAATCATCCTTGTCGCAGCTAAGATGAGAATGATCTGGAAGTGCGGGGTACCTGGGAGTTTGCCGGGTTTGCGCAGCGGTATGAATTTGGCTCCGATAGCCAGCGCGATCGCCGGGCCAAATATGAACCCTCTCGCTTCAATACCTAGCAGCAACACCAAGATGCCAAGCCATGAATATACACGTACAGGTCAGAGAAGCATATACAGATACAGCAGGGATAGCCACGAAATACATACAGCTGGGGGTCATCATTCATTCGCCGTGTATTTAGCATGGCTAGGGTACGTACACGTAATAACGTCACAATGGCATTAGGTGCTGACATAAGCCAGGTGCACCAGACAGCGGAGTTAACCAGATCGCTGTACTCTCGTACTAGCAGAGGTACCGAGCCAGGCCAGCAAGGGTAGGCGCGAACGCGAGGACCGGCCGGCCCGAGGGGAGGGGACGACACCGCATGTGAGCTCTCGGCCACGGCCGTCCGATCAGGTGATCCAAGACGCGCGCGCGCGCCCCCACCGGATTCCGGCGGTCCCGGCGCGATCTCCCCCCAATCGCCCGCCGGCTACATGCACGCCCCCTGTGACCCGGGCATTGAACACGTACAGGTACAGGCGATGCCACTGGCCCTGCTCGATCACCGCGGACCGTACAAGTGGCGCGACGGGGCCGGCCGGCGGGACGTTCGTTCGTTCGGCTGCAGGGACCATCGTAGTCCTAGTACCATGCGACGACAGCGCGAGGACACATCCCACATGCGCTGCAGAGACTATTCCGGTTAAATTGGCTAGCCTCCATCCATGGACGACTCTTCTTCCTCTTCCTCCCAGCGTGGCGGCATTGGCCCCTGGGTTTTATTGCTATGCTCTCTGGACCAGACCAGACCAGACGGTGAACTGATGAGGAAGACGCATACGTGTGCGTGTGTGTGTACGTGCGCGCGCGCGTATCAATACTGTTGCTAGTACCTAGTAGTACTGCAGCTACTGTTCTGTTATCTGAAAATAAGAGTTACTCCTACGAGTACACTACAGTAATGTGGTGTGGTGGTGATGACCTGATCAACGGCAGAGCGGAGCGGGGGAGACAAAGGGGGCAGGAATTATCTGCCGCGAAGACACGGCTAGCAGCAGGCCGGCGGCGGTATATTCCACAGCACCAGCGCACCGAGCCAACGGCGCGCTCTCAGCGGCATTAAAGAAAGACGCACGGGCCGGCACCAGAGTGCACGCACGCGCGTGGACTGCACATGGCTCCTGCCTGCACTGTATGATTGACTAGCCAGCGGGCCGATCGGTCGGATAAGGGTGATGATTTTACCTGCGACGGCCGCGATGCCCATGCCGCGGTAGCGCTCCACGAACATGTCCACGGCGTCCTTGAACACGCCCGGCCGCAGCAGCAGCGCCGTGATGTCGTTGAACATGATCCCTGCACGCGCCGCACCAACGACCGACCAGACCAGAGCACATCAGACAGGAGAGTTATAGTTAGTCAGGAGTAATGGTTTCGCACGGAGATGGACGGACGGACCTGGCTTGGGGAAGTGCGGGACGACGCGGATGGCGTCGGAAATGCCCTGGAGGCGCGGGTCGGCGGCGCGGCCGTTGCCCTTCTTGGCCGGCGCCTGCGCCTCCACCACGTTGCCGCCGCCCTCGCCGCCGCTGGTGCCCTGCTCCCCCATGCCCGTGATGCTGACGCTCGCTCGTTGCTTGCTTGCTTTGCTTCGTCGTTTGATCTTCCTTCCTCTGAGTAGTGGTGGCTAGCGAGAAAGGCGTGTGTGCGTGTGTGTGTATAAATAAACACGAGGAGAGGCGCCGGGTGGACGTAGCCCGGAGGGAGGCAGTGCGAGAGAGTAGGGGTAGTTTTTATTATCCTTGGAAACCAGCCGGTAGCCAGGACCACCTGTGCTGTGTTTGCATACAGAAGGAGGGCTCGGCTCGCTCACTGGACAGTGGCCAACCTCTCCCCCGATTCATGAATGGCGACTCAGTGGGGCGTTGGCCGTTCCAGCCACGTCCCCGCACACAAGTTTTACTATTCCCTCCATTTCTCGGTGCGTTCACGCTTTTCGAGATTTAAGTCTGTCAGTAAATTTAACCAACGACCGACTGCAGCGGGAGCAAATACCACTGAATTCGTATTTTCGATATGAATTCAATGAATATGAATTCGGTGATATAATTTTTGCTCCAGTTGCAGTCGGTCTCGTTGGTTAAATTTACGGTTAAACTTATATCTCTGAAAGCGCGAACGCACTATATTGTGGAATAGAGGGAGTACTTCGCTTCGTGAGATTTTGCCGCGGCAGAGGTTGCATCTGAAACAAGATCTGGCTTCTAGCTACGGCAGCTAGCAGCTGCTGATTGAGACGTGTTTAACTCTTTGATGCGTCTGATTTATACTTCCTCCCTCCCAAAATAAATATGACTGATTAGTGCAAAGTTGGTATAAAGCTATACTAAACCAACGATGCATTTTGCCCTTCAAGAAGAAAAAACCAACGACACATTTTGAGACGAAGAGATCAGTTTTTTAGTTTTTACACGGCATATACTTTCCTTTGCTGGTTGCGCATAGGAATAAATCACAAAAAAACTACCATTTTTTTCTCTTTTTTTTTGCGGTGATACTTTTTTCAGTCATTGTTGACTGAACAGTGATTGGTGGGATTTCGTTGTTGCATTGTTTCTGATATAGTCCACCATTCATGCCGAGTGGTGATTGACTGGATTTCTAGTGGTGATTTCTACAGTTGACAAAATGAAACAAAAAAAGGTTAAAATATATTAAAAGTAAATTATTTCCAAATTTTGTGAGTTTTTTCAAAGATGCAACTGAAAGTAGTAGGCACATTCTTATCAAACAATAATGTACACTAAACATGTGATTAGCTAAAAATGGGGACAAAAAGCTCGGTAAACACTAAATGAATCATATGCGAACTAGGCATAGAGAACATATTCCATGCACCGGTCCAATTTATGCACCGGTAGCGCCCCTTCTAGTTGATACATTGGTTGTGAACCAGAGGGAGAGGATCAAGCTGAAAGATGGGTTGCTCGCATGTTTGCAAGGTAGTCCTTCTATTTCCGCACTCCTGGGTTCGTTTCTTAAACATGAACTTAATACAATGGGCATCTTTTAGTAAATTTAATGAAATGCTATTGCAATTTTCGTAAATGTTTTGTCGATGTTTTCATGTTTTTAACACATATCCCATATTGGGCTTATCTTGAACGTCTCGTCAAAACAAAAAAGGTGGTCAAATCAGATTCAAATCTGGGCATGTGGATCAAAAATATAAGAATTTTGTCGTGTTTGGATATGGAAATAAAAGCATGGATTTGATTATGGGATAGGGCAAACTGTGGAATGTGGGTTGATTATCATAAAGCATGAACATCTTTCACAAACATGCCAACAATCCATCTTGTGTCCCTCAGGTTTATATCCAACGGGCCCAAAAACTTGGGTGCACAGGTTCTTCCGTTTCACTAGATACGTTCTCACTAAGCATAACTCATTGCTAGATTACTATTGATGGAACATGTCCACTATAGTTCAAGTCCTAGACTTGACTCGGATGGTTGTATTTTTCTGCATTCATTTTAGGCTTCTGGTGATATTTCTTCAATGGCCTAGCGTACCCCTCCACTACAAGGCATCTGCAGCGACTACATCAATCTCAAGATTTGTCGACTCATTATCTCAAAGATGTTCATATGGATAGGGTGTGCATGTGACCATACGGATGTGTGTGTGTGTGTGTGTGTGTGTGTGTGTGTGTGTACTATGTTTTTTCAAACACACTAAAGGAATCACATAACGATATTGTCCATAGAAATGTATATTTTTCTTATGGATGCTTTTTAGGGTGTAGCAGACGTACTTCCTTTTGTTGAATCTTTTTTACTCAGACAAATGCCAAAAAAAATCCAAGGGTCAGAAAATTCTGTCAATTGCGCTAAATGGTAGAATATGATATCTTTATACACGCTTCGCATCACCTAGATGCCATGATATCATTATGAGAAAGGAGAGCAAAACCCGAACACCATCATCATCAGGGTTCCCTCGCCTCCATCGACTGCTCCGCGCGGCGGGACAGAAAGGAACCCCGGGATCTTGTCTCGCGTCCATCCAATAGTCTAGTTTGTTTCAATTACGGTATTTGCTTGTTCATGGCTTTGGCTCTGGCAACGGCGATGGCGGTGCAGAATATGGTTCCTCCTGATCTTCCTCCGATGTGATGTCACTCTCTGATGTTGGTGTTGGATCTGAGAGGCAGTGTATGCATTGTTTGGACTCCTTCAGATTTGGGCAGACGCTTTGTGTGTATTGGTCGTGGTGTCAGGGCTGTGATGCGGAGTCCCAAACATGGCATCGAGCATGGATCACCACGTGTGGTGTGTGTGTGTGTCTCCGAAGGATCTTCCTGGGTATATGATTGGTTTTGGCTTTTGTTGGACTTGTCTGGATTCGACCAATACTCGTAGTCCTTCGAGTATTTGAAGGCTATCTTTGACATTTTTTTCCTCCAAGGCAGGGATTTGATATGTAGGTCGTGGCCGTCAACATCTTCTGATCTACATCGATGACTTTTCGGCCGAGCAGCTTCTATAAACTTCTGGGTTGAAACAACTTTGCTCCGTCGAGACGGAGGCATAGAGGCGACAATGAGCTTTACTCACGGTGTGTCGTCCACTGATGCAGGGGGAAGAAGACTTCGGGACCCTCAAGGATTTGGATATAATTTTATTTTTGTAAGAGTGTGTTTGTGAAGACATATTATATACTTAATATACAGTCTTAGTGCTTTCCAAAAAGAAAAGAAATGTTAGAAGTTGGTGTTTTGTGTTCTATGTAATTAGCACGAAGAAGGAAGAGTGAGTGATCCGTAAAAAGAAATAACGTGGGACTCAACTTGGTTGCAACAATTTCATTACACGTCAGAGGGTAAGGCTTGCCTGCCGCCGCTAGAAGTGAAGGAAATATGCCCTAGAGGCAATAATAAAGTTATTGTTTATTTCCTTATATCATGATAAATGTTTATTATTCATGCTAGAATTGTATTAACCGGAAACTTAGTACATGTGTGAATACATAGACAAAACATAGTGTCCCTAGTATGCCTCTACTAGACTAGCTTGTTAATCAAAGATTGTTATGTTTCCTAACCATAGATATGTGTTGTCATTTGATGAACGGGATCACATCATTAGGAGAATGATGTGATGGACATGACCCATCTGTTAGCTTGCATTATGATCATTACAGTTTCATTGCTACTGCTTTCTTCATGACTTATACATGTTCCTTGGACTATGAGATTATGCAACTCCCGAATACCGGAGGAACACCTTGTGTGCTATCAAACGTCACAACGTAACTGGGTGATTATAAAGATGCTCTACAGGTGTCTCCGAAGGTGTTTGTTGGGTTGGCATAGATCGAGATTAGGATTTGTCACTCCGTGTTTCGGAGAGGTATCTCTGGGCCCTCTCGGTATTGCGCATCACTATAAGCCTTGCAAGCAATGTGACTAATGAGTTAGTTGCGTGATGAAGCATTACAAAACGAGTAAAGAGACTTGTCGGTAATGAGATTGAACTAGGTATGAAGATACCGACGATCGAATCTCGGGCAAGTAACATATCGATGACAAAGGGAACAATGTATGTTGTTATATGCGGTTTGACCAATAAAGTTCTTCATAGAATATGTAGGAGAAAATATGAGCATCCAGGTCCCGCTATTGGTTATTGATCGGAGATGTGTCTCGATCATGTCTACATAGTTCTCAAACCCGTAGGGTCCGCATGCTTAACGTTCGATGACGATTTGTATTATGAGTTACGTGTTTTGATGACCGAAGTTTGTTCGTAGTCCCGGATGAGATCACGGACGCGACGAGGAGTTTCAAAATGGTTGAGGCATAAAGATTGATATATTGAAGGCTATGTTTGGACAACGGAAAGGTTTGGGATGTGTTCGGGCATTTTTCGGAGTACCGGGAGGTTATCGGACCCCCCGAGGAGTTGATGGGGCTTAATGGGATTTAGGGGAAAGGAGAAAAGGGCCTCAAGTGGTGGCTGCGCGCCCTCCCATGGGCTGGTCCGAATTGGACTAGGAGGGGGGCGGCGCCCCCTCCTTCCTTCTCCCCTCTTCCCTCCTTCCCTCGTTCTCCTAGTTGGAATAGGAAAGGGGGTGGGGGCGAATCCTACTTGGACCGGGAGTCCAAGTAGGACACCCCCCTTGGCGCGCCCCCTCTAGGGCCAGCCTCCTCCTCCTCCCTCCTTTATATAAGGGGGCAGGGGGCACCCTAGAACACACCAAGTTTTGCCTTAGCCGTGTGCGGTGCCCCCTCCATAGTTACTCCCTCGATCATATCGTCGTAGTGCTTAGACGAAGCCCTGCACCGGTAACATCATCATCACCGTTGCGACATCGTTGTGCTGACAGAACAGCACCCTCGCCCTCAACTGGATCAAGAGCGCGAGAGACGTCATCGAGCTGAACGTGTGCTGAACGAGGAGGTGCCGTACATTTGGTACTTGGATCGGTTGGATCGCGAAGACGGTCGACTACATCAACCGCGTTACAAAACGCTTCCGCTTTTGGTCTACGAGGGTACGTGGGCACACTCTCCCCTCTCGTTGCTATGCATCTCCTAGATAGATC